TCCATACCGTCGCGATAGTACTGTATCAAGACATGGTTGAGAGGGTGGCCAAGGTGCTTCTCAGCCTCTGACTTAATTGCCAGTACGGTAGGCGAGAAGGGCAGCAGAGGCGGCGACTCGTCTGATGGATGGCGGTAAACGGGCATGCTACCGTCATCGCTGATGGCTCCCTGCACGGCAACAAGGCGTGGAACATCGCCGCCTTGGTGCGACATGCGCTGCCAACGGACTTCGTCCTTGAGTATGTCAAAAGCTTTCTCCTCAAGAGACGGAGGGAGCAGGTTTTCGATGATGTCAGTGTCCCCGGCGCAGAGGCCTTTTTGCTGGAAAGGTAGCGACTGCTCGTCGCTCGCGTCATCTCTTACAGCGGCTTGCTTGTCCATGGTTTTCTCGGGTTTGCTGGGTGTCGCTTGGTCAGGCTCAGGCGGGGCGGGTATTATGGCGTCGTCTGATGGTTCGATAGCGGCAGCTTCGTCATTTTTATCCTGGGCATTTTCTCCTGGAACAGATTGCTGAGCTGGCATCACGGCAGTATCTTTGTCATTGACGCCCTTGCCGGTGTTTTCTGGGGAGCTAGTGACGCCCTGTGTCAACTCAGGCGTGGGTGTAGCGGGCTCAGCCTCGATTCTATCCGCTTCTATTGCCTTGGCCGCTTCTTTTGGCTTCTCTTGCGATGTGGCCTTAACATTGGCAGGTTGCGACGATGGCGATGTTGATTTTGCAGAAGACGCGGGGCCAGGGGATTCAGGTTCCAGTTTCAGTTTGCTCATGGATTGCGTAATGTCCACCGCACTGGGTACTGCATCGCGCGTTGCAGGCGTGGAGGACTCCTTTTTCTTCTTAGGGCGCCTGGCGACTTTGGTGGGCGGCTTAGGCTGGATCATGTCGAGGACCTGGGCAGCCGAGATAATTTCACAACCAGTCACTTCTGTCAAGCTGTTGACCATGTACATCTGCCTGGCGTCGCTGCGGTAGCCACAGCAGTCCTCAATGACGGTGATGGACATGCCGTGGCCAGCAGCGTCGAGGGCCGTGGCATAGACGCCGACATTGGCGAGCGAGCCGCATATGAAGACCTCCATGACCATCTTTGCGCGGAGGTTGCGAAGCAGGTTCGTGCCCTGGAAGGCGGAGTAGTGAGTCTTGGTCAGCGTCATATCAGACCTGGTCATGGCATCTTGGATGACAGTCGGAGCTTTGGTGCCTGGAGAGTCCGGCTGGAGACACTGAGGTTTGGCGTGGCTGAGAAAGGCCTCGGGATCGATGGGAGCGTCGGGTTGCTGGGCCGGAGAAGGGGGCGGGCGACGACGGCCACGAGCAGAAGAGCCGAGAGCAGTGGGCGGAGGCATATCACTGACGAGAATCTGCTCGTCTACGGGCCTCGGCTTGTCAAAGGCCGAGCAAACCCAGACGACGTCGCCGCCAGCCTCGCGGAAGGCGGCGGCTAGACTGGCTGCGCGGTCCAGGAAGCCTTCAGGCTCAGGGACAGGCAAGGCTCCATCGGGGCCGACGAAGTCGTTCTGGAAGTCAACGGCGATGAGGGCCCTCCGGGAGCTGATCTGGGGAAGCGAGACGGGGTCGAAAGGAAACATGGCGGAGGCGAGCCTAAACCCAAGCCATAAGAGGCCACTGGCTAACGATGCTGGTGATGATTAGGTATGGTGAGAAAAGCTGGTAGGCGTGGGATGGCATGACCGAGGCTCAGCGGCAAGGCGTGTACTTGAAACAAACATGAAAAGAAGAAGAGCAACAAGAGACAAGAGACGAGAGGGTAGGAGGGTAGGAGGAGGAGGAGGCGGAGGAGGAGAATGAGGAGATGCGGGTGGTTGTTGGTTCGAGGTGGAAATAAATATTAAATGCTTAATTATTCGGTCTGGTTATTATGGCTGTCCTGCAGAAACAGGAAAGAGCTGAGGGGCTACGGAAAGAAGGTAGGCGGACTGGCGGACAAGAGGAAACGGGGTGGAAAGATGGTGCATCAAGTGCCGAGATGGACGTCTTAATGAATCATCTAGTTTGAGCAATTTGCGATAAATGTAAGCACGGTTTTGGCAGCGTTTATTTCATTTTATTTTTATTTCAATTTTTTCTTTCCTGTCTTCCTGATGACCTTACATGGGTGGGCATCGGCGACGGGCGGATTTTGGCCCCAGCAGACAAAATCAAGCATGGAAAAAAAGGCCGGACGGACACGGAACTTGTGCGGGCTGCATGGATGGTGTGCTCGGACCCTGATCGCCATCCGTTTTGACAGCAGCAGCATGATAGATGATAGGTCCTGCGCAGCTCGCCCCGGAGCTGCTCCCGGTGGAGGACGAGGAGGAATAACCTGCTCGCACGCGCGGCCACGTATCACGCCTGCATGCCTGCTGCAGCTTGTGCAGTATCTTGCCCGCAATCGGCTGCAGCCTTTTGTCATCGCCGGACTTTGCCGCGCTGCCATCCATCTGCCGGTGCTCTCTGCCCGTGCTCACTGACGTCTCACCGTCTTCGGCTGTCACCTGCTTAACCGAAGTTCCGAGCGTCCTTGGAAGATGAGGCCGCCCCGGATTCCTTCGGTCTAGACTCCTGTAGAACCTGCTTGGCGTTGCGAGAGGGCTGATGATCACCGTGATTGCTGTCACGGATCCTGCAGAGCCAAGGTGAATGGACTCGTCGGTGTCATGTTGCCATGGAATGAAGGGCGTGGTCAATAAGCAGGGGAGGTTATCACAATATCCCGTATATTTACCAGTTGCCCCTTCGGACTATCCTTTACCTGAAGAGCAAGCACACTTGTCTATCCAGAGCATTGTCATTGTGTCAATAGCATGAATCCCGTCTGCCGGCCGTTGTCAATGATGAATACACCCTCTAAAATCAAATTGATCAATCATGAATGCAAAGCAAATGCAGGGCTGGCGCATTTTCCAAATACAGCGCCCATGCCACTAACATTTAGTGCAGACTGGCCATGACACTGGGTCTGCCGTAGATCTGCCGGCGCTTTTGCCTTCCAACCATCCCAAGTCAATCTTGAAAACCATCGTCCAGCATCTCCATGTTTCCATGCTCATTCACTGCGCACCATCCGCTCTCATCTTGCGCATACGCTTTCTCCGCATATCCATCGCCGTAGCCTCCTCGATGCACAATTAGGACATACTCTGCGGCCCAGGCTCTGCCTACGTCTCCCACGCCGCGTCGCTTCGCAACCTACAGTTCCCAGCACCTGCTCACCATGACGGAGAAGCACAGCCTCTCGCCCAGCGAGCACGCCGACTCGGACCCGGACCCGAAGCGACTGAAGAGCGCCAAAGGCGATGCTATAGACGGACTCTTTGATGAGCTACCAGCGACCAAGGAAGAGGTCGACGACTGCACTCGCGAGTCCTGCGAACCAACGCAGCACCACTTGGCGCGGCGCGGCATTCAACGCGCCATCGCCATGGTCTTGAAATACGATGGCTTCGCCTCCGCCACTCCAGAAGCTATGGAGGACTTCACCTCGACGGTGGAAGCTTGTCGGTTCCCCTCACGGCGTTTCGAGCCCGCTGCCTGATTAACACAGAGACAGACCTAGAATCTTTGATTGAGGAGACCAAGACCTTCGCCATTGCTTCGCGACGCGAGCATCCGATTCCTACCGACTTTGAGATTACCATGCGACGTTTCAATCTTCCCATGTCCTCTCTAAAACCACACCTAAAACACCCAATACCTAAACAAGACGTCCTGCCCGAGTTTGCGAACCTCGTCATTGACGACCAAGACGCCCATGCCACCCTCCCGCTGCTGGGCCAAGAGCTCAGCGGCCAGCCCGACAAGGACGACAAGCAATACATTCCCGCCTCCTTCCCCGACTTCCCCAGCCGACACACGTACCGATTCACGCCGCAGGAAGACACGAGCGTGCGCGACCCCAAGCAGATCCGAGAAGATGCCGCGCGCACAGCCGCCCAGGGCGAGGAGGCGCTGCGAGGACTCGTCCGAGCATCAAAGATGCGCAAGCAAAAGGAGGCCAAGACCCTCGTCGAGACGGATACCCACGGAAAGGAGCGATTCCGCCTCTGGGAGTCCACCATGAAACGACTTATGAGCAAGGACGGTAGAACAGACCATGCCGACCAAGTCGAGATTGCGGACCACAGCATGATTGTGAATGGCGAGGGTACTTTTGCCCGCAAGGAAGTCTCACGCCACGCGAAGCGAGCCGTGGCGGCGTCGGGAGGCAAATGAAGCACAGCATAGGAAGGGCATATTTATATCGGGAAACAAGGCTGGAAGGGCATTAAAGGCGTCGGGGTTTTTATCATGTTCGTGGGCAGTCTGGGATTCAGAACAAAGCGAATGGGCGTTACGGGGCCTTGGGAACATAGAATGACCTTGAGGACGCGAAGCATATTAATGATAGTAAGAAACGGCGTCTGGGCACAAGTTCCAATATCTACCAAAGAAAGCATTTCATATGGGTCAAATTGACTTGTTTAATTTAAGACAATCGATGGGTCAACGAGGTGGCCGAGTTGCGCATGTGGGAGAGAATTGGCATGCACCTGGAGGCTGCCGTAGTCCTCCCTGGCCTCCGCTGGCACCTACAACCTTTATCCTTCATGAGAGCGGGCCATGCTATGTGGACTTCAGCGATGAATGCTAACATGTCCACATGTATTTCCAACTTAATGATTTGAGGTAGAGGTGTTGTCACAAGGACTACGAGAGGACCGCAGGCCAGCAAAAAGGGACGCCCCGCCACTCAAAGTTGCACTTGGGCAAAAAGTCACCAACACATGGCATCGACAACAACCACAACAAAAAGAAAAGCGAATCTCCCCGACCAGAATTGAACTGGTGACCTTCAGGTGAACAATCTTAACAATTACAGCCCGACGTGATAGCCAACTACACCACAAGGAGATGGGAGGCGGCGATGGAATTACGCTCTATGACGGGGAACAGACGCGATGGCGTAACCCACAAAAAGATGGACCAAAAAGATGGGTTGTTCTCCCCTGGGTTGATCTCCCCGACCAGAATTGAACTGGTGACCTTCAGGTAATGAATTTGATTCAATTACAGCCCGACGTGATAGCCAACTACACCACAAGGAGAGATGTCTGCCGAGTTTCTTATTTCGCATTACGGAGGGATGAGTGGGAGTCGATGACTTGTGCGCAGCCCTCCCGTCACGATCTTGAATGAGTATCCTGTAGGGTAGTTATGCATGATTCAGGTATTCCTCTGATTGCAAAATTTCTGTGTGGTGCAGGTCTTGACGAAATTGCAGTCGTGTGCTGCGAATGGTCGTTCTGTTCTTAACTGTATGTGAAGTTGACGTATCACAGCCATTCACTATTGGCCTATTGGATAAAAGCTTCAACACATGCCCATGCAAACACCCCGCCAGGACACTTCATACAGTTGCTGGGCATATTTCTTTCTTCCGCACGAAAATAAATCTGCATGCTCAGTGAACCTTGTGTTTGTATGACAGCCACATCGTCTAGGGTAGCCACAAGGTGGTGAGACAAGACCAGCCGTACCTGGAAAGAATCCCTCGCATATATAACAAAATGAATCAGCTCCCTTCAACACTCAATGAACTTCCCGGAGGTTATAAATCTCCTTGTGGTGTAGTTGGCTATCACGTCGGGCTGTAATTGAGTAATTTCAAACCTGAAGGTCACCAGTTCAATTCTGGTCGGGGAGAGAGTTCTATTTTTGCCTCAGATGGCTCCGGTGCTTTTTTGTCCCGCCCGTCCCACACACAAAACTACGGCTCTAAAGTGGCACTGTAACGATGATCGGCGATGAGTCGCCGCAGCGCTGTTCTATACATTGGGTAGATACATCCATGAAGCATGGCTAAACCTCTACTTTTGACGTCCGGGAATCCTCCCTCCACATGATATCTGTCCTTACGCTGATTGACCTCAATGGCAAATCCTCCCGGTGGTCATCGGCTGAAGGCCTCCATACCGCGCTGCGCGGCTTGAAACGGTATCCGTCGGGCCACAGGCGAAGCTTCTGGGGCTCTTGGACGCTTCCGTGGGAAGATTCGGCCCTCTTGGCCGAGCTGGACACGAAGAAGCTCTTCTCACGCAGGCCATCCAAGAAGGAGCCGCTCTTGGTGACCGATGGCCCTGAGCCTCCGATGGTAGCGACGCGGTTGCTCCTCGAGGCGCTGGCATCTCTTGTCTTTGCGAAACCCAACTTGTGCCAGATCTGTATGGCGACCGGCCGGAGGGCGGGCAGGCAGGCCGCGATGAAGCCTGTGCAGACTTCTATGTGACACCACATGACCACGTTGGCCATTCCCACTTGTAGGTTGTTAGAGACTCATCATATACGAGGGCTGGCAGGGGCAAGAATGGATCACGTACGGGTTGCATCAGGCATCAAGCCTGTCAGCGTGTGTATGTATTCGTATGCGTACACAAATCTCATGATGCTCGCAATGACGGTGAGACTGCACAAGAAGAAGACGGCGCTGATGGCCAGCTTGGTGCTTCTCGAGGTGTGGAGCCGACTGACTTCGTACAGGGGCAGGCAGTATATCATGATGGTGGTCGCAATCTCCGGGATGCCGTCTTGCCACGCGAGCCATGCGCCGATGGCCAAGTTGCAGGAGTCTGTCCGAACCGTGAATCTCCACGCGTCCTCGATGGGGTTGCACCGGAAGATGGTAGGGAAGACAACTGCCAGGCACCAAGCGAGCTGCAGGCCGCCGACAATCATGCAGCTTCGTCGTGTAAAGGGCGTGGGGAAGAAGCGCCAGTACATGGCGAGGTAGCTAAACTTGGTGACGGTGATGGCGATCGGGCTCACGATGCATTGCACGAAGAGTATCTGAGGCGTCGTGAGTTGGCTGATACGGGGCGCTGGGGATTGACAGAAGGACCAAATGAAATGTCAAATACCCTCAGGAAGTCGGCCAGAGTACTTCGGTTGCTCAATAAGTTGACGATGAGAGGAACACCAAGCCCTCCCATAATCACCTCTAGAGTGATGACCACGAAATGAACCCATAGTAAGCACTGCAAGCTGGGAGTTAGCAGACTGCCAAAGGAGAAGAGGAATTGGAATAACTGACAAATGATACCAAGATCCATCCATCATCTATGCCAAATTCCACACCGCGACGCACCCGCGTCCACGCCCGAACAAGCATAGTAATCGTGGCCAGCGCCGACATCATGGACGAGACACCAATTACAAGAGGCCCCCGATCCTCATCCGACATGGCGGACGCGAAAGAGGCCATGGCTGCTTCCAGGTGACGACCGGCCTCTTACAACACAAAATGCAGGTGTGTAAGACAGCGTGCGCATGCAGCAGTGCGTCAGGGGCGGGGCGGAAGAAGGGCGAGGAGAGGGAGATTCGTGTAAGAGAAGGAGGGTGGCAGAACACCTCTGGCATTTATCAGTGATTCCCGTGCATCTGCGGGGGGCTGCAGCAAGGCAATAACGCTTATATCGAAGCTGGCGCATTGTGAGGCACGGAGGAATCGCTTATGCATAAGAGGATGAGCCCTTTCGATAACGGCGCCGCAGCCACGAACCTGTAAAGAGGCATTTTCCGGCCCATCCCTCTGAGAACTGGGAACTTTGGCGGCGTGACAGCATCGTGCCAAGCAAGCGAAATCTCCGCCGGGAGGCCGTCAGTCAGCCACCGGAGAGAGGGAGAGAGGGCCAAGGCAGCGCTCCGGGGTTAATCGTAGTGAATGCAGCCGTCGCCGAGGTCTACACACCCTTATCGTGGGAGGAGGGATTGACGATCCTATAATTAGAAAGGGGGGAGTGGGCGGGCTGCGCTGGGCCTGCAATTCTGGTAGGTTGAGCCAACGCAACCTCCCTTTCTGAGTTCGCCGCCTGCGGCACAGGCACAGATGAGGGCGGGCACAAACGTGTCGATTTGATGAGCTGGGATCTGCACGTGGTGCGGTGCGGCGGTGCCCGACTCAGCGTAGGATTTCGCCTCTTCAGCTGAACCGCCTGACCTGCATAAAGGCATCGTACAGGGAGCATGTTTCCACGTTTCTTTCTCCATCATGGTTGGTACCGATGCATGGAGGACCAGCAAATGTTGGACTCAATATAAATAGTCACGGTCCGCACTGACACTGTTGGTTCATCGACAACGTTCAATTCTGCATTGGGATAAATGCTTTATGACCGCCCCCATGTAACTACCACTGCAGGAGTCCCTCCTCAATAGCCTTGATCTGCAGGGCAAGCAGCCTCGAGTAGTGTCGGCACAAGGCCAAGTTGCCGCCGTGGAACCAGAAGCCCGGGTGGCCGCTCTTCTGCCAGATGGTGTTAAACTCGCCCTCCTCGTTGAGGCCCCAGACCTCGCCGATCCTGTCCGCCACCTTGTCCCCAAAGATGGACCTCGTCATCGTCTTCATGCTCTGGTACCCCGTCGCAAACACGACCTCGTCGGCCTCGAGCTCCGACCCGTCGGCGAACTTGACCCCGCGCGGGAGGAGCCCCGTCACCTCCTGGCCCTGCTTGATCTTGATGTCGCCGTTGGCGATGAGCTTGGAGGCTCCCACGTCGATGTAGTAGCCTCCTCCGCGCTGGTAGTACTTGATGTGGTGGCCCGAGTCGTCGGCCCCGCTGTCGAGCTTGAAGCCTGCCTTCTCGAGGCCGGCGCGCATCTCGGCCTCGAGCAAGTTCTGCACCGGGACCACAGACGTGTGTATGGCCTTGAGCAGCGGAGTCGGCACGCTTTCGCCGAAGAGATCGGCGTCCTCAACGGGCGGTCCGCCTTCCTCGTAGACGTTCTTGAGGTAAATATTGAGGATGCTGTCGGACGTCACGACGCAGGTCGATGAGCGCTGCACCATGGTGACGTCGTAGCCCTTCTCGAAGTAGTCTTGGGCAATGTCGTGGGCAGAGTTGCACGAGCCGACGACCACCGCCTTCTTCCCGCTGGCTCCCTCCTTGGCCCCCTTGAACTCGGAAGAGTGGCACAGAGTATCTCCTTGGAAGCTCTGAATGCCGGGAATAGACGGCATATTCTTCTTGCCCGAGTGTCCCGTAGCTTGGATGACGTGCGTAGGATGGAAGACTCTCTTGTCCATCGATCCATCCTCGAGCTTTCTCTCTACGGTGACGGTCCAGATCTTCTTATCGTCGTCATACTGGGCATCCTTGAGAGTAGAGCTCATCCAGACGTTCAGCTCCATCAGCTTCGCGTACGACTCGAAGAAATCGGCCAATTTGTCCTTTGGCGTAAACACAGGCCATGATGCCGGGAACTGGATGTACGGGAAGTGGTCGTACCAGACGGGATCGTGGAGAACGAGCTGGGCATATCGCTTTCGCCAATTGTCGCCGATACGCTCATTCTGGTCAATGACGAGGGACTGCACGCCCAAAGCCTTGAGACGAACGGCGATGGTGAGGCCGGCTTGACCGGCACCTGTGATGTCGAGTGAGACTTGATTAACTTATATGGAGAGCATAGAGATGGACTCACCTAGGACAATGACTTTGGGCTCATAGTCACCCCTGCACTCGACTTCATCTTTTCTTCTCGCGGCCCAGTTCTTTCGGTCTTTGTTGATACCATGCTCAGCACCCAGAGGGCGTCGACCCCCAATTGACTCTGGGTAGTCCTTCAGCGATTCCAGCAGAGTGTAAAAGGTGTAGATTTTCCAATTGCCGTTCTCAGGGATGAGACGCACCGCTCCCCGTCCGGTACCCAGCGTCGATTCGAATGTGAAGAAGGCCAGGACACACTTGGCCGTCCCCTCGACATCCAATGGGATCACATTCGGAGCACGGAAGGGTGACCCGTCATCTATCTGTATCTTTCTGAGGGGCAGGCTGCCCGTGGGCTTCTTACAATCCTCCAGGAAGGTCTTGACCTTCTGCGGGCCTAGGAGGGTCCGGAAGCTCCAAGACAGAGCAAGGTGGTCACGCAAATATCCGATATCGGCAAACAATTGGGAGATGGCAGACACATCGGAGCTCTCGAGAGCAGCATTGAAGGCATTGACAAAGTTCTGGACGACTTCATTCCTCTCGTCGGGGTTCACATCGGGCGAGTTGGGCAGAGTCGCAGCCGTGATGTTGACGCCCCCAGGAGCAACACGCATGTGCGA